TTTTTACCGCAATGCTATACCAACAAACACACACGCGCGCACACACCTATGTATATCCAATATATACGTTCGTTCTTACCTCCATCTCACCGCATATATTATAATTACGTGTTGAATCCAACTTCATCTCGAATCGCTGTTACAGTTGTGTCTATTAGAATTGATTTGAGCAGGCCTGACAGTGACCGTTAGTAAAAAAGTGCAGATGCTTATTTCTGCCGCAAATCGTAAGTGCTCTCCCTGTGCTATTTACTACCGCTCCCCGTTCTCAATGAGCTTTAAAATTTACAGATGCACTTTCATAATTACCTTGTCTCAAGATGAATGGCAGACCATGTAGTTACAATGCTTTTTTTTGGTCGCTGACAAAACATATACTGCTGCACTCAATTTTTTCTCCAAGTCCCTTTATTCTGTGCCTGCTACCCTTCACCTATCTGACTTTCAAAAAAATTGAAAACTGGGGGGGGCCCAAAGTTAAAGTCGGGGCAGAATAAGGAACTTGCTTTAAGTAGTGGGATCAGTATAAATCTATGTCGGACATGTTTAAGCAGGGGAAAGCAAAATGACAATGACAAACTCTTTGGAAGAGTGACGAAAAGGACACTAGTTCATATATTATTAGCTTCAATAATATATAAAAATTTATAAAAGTTTTTAATAATTAATAATATTTTTAATATTTAAATAAGTATAAAAATAAATTTTTATTATATAAATAAAAAATAGATATTGATAACCCATTAAATGATACATTAAAAAATGAAATAGAAAAATAATTGCTAATAAATGGGATTTTTCAAATAAATCATAGCCTGAAATATTAAATAAATATAATCATAGAACTGAGATTAAAAATTTTAAAAATAATACTATACAAATTATAAAAAATGAATTATTAGATAAACTTGGATATATTGCTGTTTTTTATTTTCTAGTTATATTATATGGTGTAAATTAATATCCAGCATCTTATAGAGAAATTAAAAAAAAAATTGCTATTATTATATCATATTATATGTGGTGAAAATGGTACAGATATGGAAAAATTTATACTATATTCTTCATTTTATAGATTATATAAAGCATTTTAGATAACAGATTATATAAGAATAAATAAAAAAGTTAAATATGATTTAGAAAATATATTTTCAAATATAAAAATAAGAATATTAGCTGCAAAAATAAATAATCCTACTGGATTTAAAAATATAACCTTATTTATAGATGGACATGATTCGAAAATTAAGTCTTATTATCCTGATGAAAATTCAAAGGATTTATATTCTTATAAATTAAAAGGAAAAGGAATAAGAATACAAATTTTATGTGATATGAATCAAATGATAATATTTACATCTAAAAGTCAAAAATGTGCAAAGGGTAATGATGGAACAATGTTTCTTAATATGAAACTATATAAAAAAATAAATGAATTAGACTATATAGGAACTGATGGTGGTTATGATTTATTTATAAATACTCTCACTGAAGATGCATTAACATCTGGTTATGAGTTTTATAATTATAATTTTCAATATCCAATTAGAAAAGAAAAAGATAAAAAATTAACTATTAATGAAAAAAATTTTAATAAAAAAATTTGTTAGTTTTAGATCTGAAATAGAGAACCAATTTTCTGTACTTGCATCTAAATTTAAAAGGTTTTCAAATAATAATCCTGCATTACAAATTTCAGACATAAAATATTATAGTTTACAGTTCCGTATAGCATATTTATTAAAAAATATAAATTTAATGGTAGAAGAATATAATATAAAAGAAGAGCCCTATCATCGGTTATAGTATAGTGATGGATTTGAATTTCCATCAAAAAATAGCAAACAAAATATTATATTTTCAAGTGAAAGAGAAGTAAATGAAAATTATAATAAAATAGTAAATTTACATAAAGAATTTTTAAAACTTGAAATTAATGATAATGATGAAAATATAGAAAAAAATATTAGTGATAGTGATGATGAAATGATAGATGAATATGTGTTTGATAATGGTAACAGAAAAAAAATTATTAAAAAAGTTATTAGTGTAAATATTTAAATAATATAAATAAAATAAATAAAATATATTATAATAAAAAAATATATACAATAGTATATATTTAAATACCAAAATGGTATTAGAAAAAAAAAGGATACAATGTATCCTTTCTTTTTTTTGGGGTATAATGGTACTCTAGTACTGTCTATCAGATTAATTTGTTGAAAATTCTAATATTCCCTTTTTTTGTTGTTTTTTTATTTTTTTATATTTCACATAAAAAATGAAATACTCTGCCTATATTGGTAGCGCTACCGAAAATGAATTGTACCAGTGATATTCTGCTTGCCACAGTGCAAATTATAATTATGTATGATAATATAAAGATAAGCCTAACGTACCAAGTATTAATATGTGCACGATTTATTTTAATAAATATTAGTATAAAAATCGTATCAACGGGCTATGTAGTTTTCTCTACAATCCATGAATATTCTAGAGTATTATACATAATGTTTGTTTTCCCCTCCATTTATTTTTCTAATGAATTATTAAAATAAATTTATTAACCTTTTTGTAATTATTATTTTTTTATAGATACAAAATTCAATTTTTATATTAAAAATAATTTTAATTATGCACAAATTGAAACTCCGAATATTTATAAATTTGCTTAAAATCTATAATCATAGTCTAGTCCGCAAAGGGAACTATGGGAACAAAAAGGGAATGGGTGGGAAAATGATAAGAGTGAATGAAAAGGGAAGAATGTAGCACACGTAAAAAAGAAAGAATAAGTCGAGTGGAGTGACAGCGTGAAAACGAAAAGGGAAGCGTAAACAAGAAGAAGCGAAAAGTAAAAGGAGGAGTAATAGAAAAGGAAGGGCGTAGCAAAAGCAGTAAAGGAAAGAAAGGAAGCATGGGAAAAGGGTTGAAAGGGGTAAAGCGGCGGTTGTCATGGTTACCACCACTGCATGTATGGGAAAGCATCTTCTTCCAATGGGCTTTAGAATCATTTTCGGTGTAGCGACTTTGGATGGTTTACCACTCAAGTCAAGTTTACATTTTTAGAATGGGCACAGTTGTAGAGTTGGTTAACTAATGGATCTTGAATAGAGAGGTCGCCAGTTCCAGCCCAGCAGCGAGTATATAGGTGTTTTTTAGTTAATCCATCCTTAAGTATCTCTCCTTTCATGTACCATAGCTCATCTATTAGTATTGCTATTGCTATGAAACCCTGTACGGATATATATATGATGTATATACATCTAAGTATGCTTTTATAGAAGACAGGCACATTGCTTATTTTAGACATTACATATGTGGATGTATAAAAATCACTGAAAGTGGCTTTATTTAAGGTGTATTAAGACCTCTAGAAGGTGCAATATTGTAGCTAGAGTGCTGTAAATTGCAGTACATGTATCTATCATATATGGCAACAACATACTCAAACGGCAATAGCAGTCACATAGCCACTGAAGCTGCCTTATATAGAAAACTATTTTTGTGAGCTTATTTTTGGTCTAAACATACACTCCAGAAGTATGGCAGTCACACCCCTTTCTTATAATTGTGCGGTATAGTTGCAACGCAATAGCTGAAATATACTAGTATGCTGCCATGGTCGAGTGGACTATGGCGCCTTCCCAATCCAGTTGAGGCTTGGGAAGGCGCAGGTTCGATTCCTGTAGCTGCTATTTTTTTTTCAGCAAGCAATATTTAGTTTTATTGAGCTTTAAAGTAAAACTAGACATGAAAATCATTCTTTTGTTCAAAAACTATTACTATGCAGTGAGACTAGTATAAATACACTTTATTTTTAAACTATAAAAGAGGATGTGAATAGCAGTAGCATTGTCATTTAGAAGAGAATGTGGATGGTAATAGCAAAGTCAAAGGATTGAGTAGTATTACATAGGGGTCGCAATCTAACCTGCGGGTTAAGGACAGGTCAACGGGTTAGGTTGATGCTTTTCTGACCTGCGGGTCAGCCCGTTGACCCGTTGTGACCTATATATACATATAATATGTATAAGGTACTTGTATTCAAGTAGTCAATCTTCTTATTGGGAAGCATCATTATATTATAGGATGTACACACCCGTGCAAAAAAAAAGAGGAAACCAGTTGCCTTTTTGAGTTATCGCATGTAGCTACCATATTGGGACAGCAGAAAAAGAACCAGGTCCCCCCACCCCTCATGCATTTACGATGAGATGCAGATGATGAGGCTTTGCATTTTGGAATAGGATTGGCGTAAAAAAAACCTTTATTGAAAATAATTATGGGCTAAATTTTATGGATACTGCGTAACTAAACACACTAATAAAATAATCGATGACGCTTTCAAGCTTGCAAAAAGAATTTCAAAAAACAGTTGTGAATCTGTTACTTGAGGTTATGCCATTCTAGTATTGCTTTTAAAAAGATGATGATTAGCCTTAATAGCTTATATAGGTTTTGTCAACGCGTCATCATTTTCAAATTACCAAAGATATGAGCAGTATAAATCGGCATGTACTTCATATAGCCTATAGTTAGCCTATGGTTTAACAGAAACTTATATCAGCGATTTCCATGCCGTTTAATAGCCCATGCCCTAAAGGAATAAACGTATACTTACAGAGAGTCTCCAATAAAAGCACTTATAGCACCATCATGACTATTAATTCAAAAAGAGATTAGTCACTAAAGAGAGCTTTTTTCAAATTTCAAACAAGCAACTAAGCATTCTTACCTTGTTTTATAATAGCCTACAGATTAGTTTGAGAACATCTAAGAAGATGCTATATTAATTTAGGTTTCAATGGTCTTAAACGAAGAAAATAAGTAAGACATTGTTACCTGAATTGCAAAAGATGGTGGGCAAGAAGAAGGTGGAGAAAAAGGGAGACGGAAATTGAGCTGAGGCATTCTTAATTTAACTCAGCACTTAACCTTTTTTTTTCTCTTTTGCACTCACCTTTATTCTCAATTACAACCATCTCCATTCGACCATGTCCTTCAACGTCTTCTCCATTAACGCACAAACTCAGAAGCAGCCTAAAACCAAAACATGTGTTCCTTGTAACACTGTCATCAAGCTTGGAGATGGCTTAGGAAACTGGAAAACTCATGTTAGCTCATCGAAACATCAGGTGAATGTTGCTGACTATGATGCCTGCATCGTCCGTGCTTCGGCTTCTAATGCTGAGGATATGGACGTTGACAGCACCAATTCGGGAGAGGAGCACCAGCAGCAGCATAGTGGTAGCAACGACGACGTCGAAGACGACGATGACAGTGACGACGAGTCGGTCGACATTGCTGCTTTGCGTCAGTCGTACGGTGTTTTCCTCTCTCGGTGGCAGGAATCCGGTGCTAATGCCGAGTTCGCTGCTGATGTGGAGAGTGATGGTGGCAGCGACGATGAAATCGACGAAGGTGATGATGATGGTGATAATCCGCTCGATTTCAGCGTCGACTACGAGACCAACGAAGACTGGTATCCTTTCGAGAACCAGTTGCAATTTCGTCTTGCTGCCTTCTTCCCGCAGACGATCGCCTGAAAGACAGGATGATTAAAAAGCAGCTGAAAAGTCTTCTCGAAGATGTAGCCGTGATGTTTCGTGAGGATAAGGACCTCAAAGTGCCATCTGTTCGTTGGATGATGGATCCATCGTATGCTAAGCGAAGCAAAGTGCCAAAAATAAGAATAACAACAGTCAAAGCAGAGATCAGCAAGCCTAATACAGACGAAACCGTCAAAGTTACGGCACATATGCATAAGCCATCAGATTGCTTAAAGCTCCTCAACGCTGATCCAACTGTCTCTTCGAGTTTGAGTGCTCTACCCGACAAAACGCCTGACCAGCGAATCGAATTGACGCAAGGCAGTAAATGGAACACCTGCAATCTATTCCAGCATCCGTGCGTTACAATTCTGTAGGAGCAATGCTTTGGGTTGGTGATTATGCCAAAATAATCGGCATCGGGCAGCAAACAACGTGCAAAATTGCAAAGTTCTACACTAAGCATGGTATTACATTTGCCGACATCTGTCCCGTCAAACTGGCCAAAAAGCAGGGTAACATAGAAGTAGCCGTACTTTCCTACGAGAGCGATCCTGAACATCTATACTACATAACAGTGCCAATCGATAGACTTGCCCTTGATTATGATGCCAATTGCAAATGGCATTATCTTGAGCACGTTGCTGCAAAGGTGACCAGTTCCGGTGCTGCTGGGGATATATGCGATTTCGACAGCGGCGAGTTCATCCCTATTGACTTTACGAAGCATAGTGATTTCAGAATCGGTCTGCGTTACGATCGTCGGCTGCCTGTCAAGATCGTACCAGTGAACTTGTTCATTGATGACACTAGCGGCAACCGATCAAAAAAATGGAACAAGTTCGATAGCTGGTCTCTAACGCCCGCTGCGCTTCTACTCACTGAACGCAACAAACGGGAGAACACGCACTTGATCGCTGTCCACAACAAATTGACTGCTTTGGAGATGCTTCCCTTTATTGTCGAGGACTTGTGCGAGCTTGAAAAGGGTGTGGTGATGTTCGATGCTGCTAGCAATCAGGACGTGTTGGTGGTGGCGCCGCTGTGCTTTATTTGGCCGACAATCCACGGCACGCCGAACTCGTGTGTAGCAAAGGCCTTGCTTCAACTTTCCCTTGTCGCAAGTGCTACTACTATAAAGGATGTGATGAGCACTAGGCAGCTCTACCTCGCAATATTACTGACGTTGCAATGCTGTCAATAGGTCTTGATCTGGAGGATCCGGTGCGATTGCCAAATGACACCATGACAACGAATCCTACTGCTGTAGGATATAAACTGACTAGTGTAGAGGCGTTGGGCAACCTCGAGGCGTTTGACATTACGAAAGACTGCCTAGTAGAGATACTGCACACCACGATGCTGGGAGTTACCAAATATCTCTTGCTTGAATTTTGCAATTATCTTGACAGCGACGAGCTCAAAGACCTCGAGCTCAAGTGCCGCAGCTACGACTCGAAAGCCTTCCGTCGCATGCTCAGCAGTAGTCTGCGTCTTCGCCGTTCCTTTGTCGGTCGCGATTACAAGGTCATTAGCCAGCAAGCAGCCGTCATCCTCAACGATCTCCTCCATCATGGTTGGTCAGCAAAAAGCGAGGAGAAAATGGAGGGTCTCCAGGCGTTCTTTGACTGCTTCCGTGTACATGGAGAGGTCATGTCGCTATTATTCATGTCCAAGATAGAAACAAAGTTCTCTATGTACAAGCTGCTGCTGAAAAGAAGACGGAGGAATTGACGGCTATGATTGGTGTTGTCGACAATTTCCTTATTGCGCAAGGAAATATGACCGCCAATAGTAAGATGGGTAACAAACCCAAGCTACACATCTTGCATCACATCGTGGAGGATATCGAACGTTTCGCCACTGCTATTCATTTTGAATCAGAAAAAGGCAAATAGTTCAACAAATTCCTCCAAGAACACATCCTCCACACCAACCGCCACAACCCTTCGCGAGACCTACTTGTTTCCTTTGGACGGTATACAATGTTTCGTTGCATTGTCAATAGAGGCTATTTTCCCCATGTCGCGTCCAGTCGACTTGTTCATGCCAGCAACAAGATATAGAGTTGCCATGGCAGTTACTTAGTAGCACTGGGCTTGCAGGGGAATATCAAGGGGTAGAAAAGAGCTTGATATTACCTTGATATACAGCTTTTCTATAAAATATAAAGGTGTTTTCAAACACCTTAATATTTAGCTTTTCGAGTAAATATCAAGGTCTTTTTACACCTTGATATTTTTATGCGCATGTAGTCCCCCAAGCTCATAATTTGATTACATCATACATGTAGATATCTATAACGGTCTTACTATACATTGCATTTGGACCGGGTGCCTTCTGTAGTAGGTTCGTAAAAAGAAGGATTACGCATTGCATATTTTCGTTCTTTTTATCACACATATAGTAAACGGACAAAGCATGCTATTGGTTTTTATATTCATGGTCATGTGTACAGTGAACCCCCGCTTTTTGCAACAGCGGGAATACCGTCAAAAAAGTTGCAAAATCTGAGGAACTGCAAAATGTGAATATGTTACACAAGTGGGATCGATAAGCTGGCAATCACATTTTTCCTTATTTAGTTTAAAAGCTCTTAAATAATAGAATACAATAGTGTATCTCTTTTGTCACTGGTTCGAGTCTCACTGTCTCTGAAGTTTGAGATTAATATACAATATATAAGGCTGAAGCGGGAAATTGCAGGTCCCGATTTCCAAGTTGCAATCTGCAAAAACCGAGGAATCTGCAATTTTACTAAGTGTTGAGCGGGAATCTGCTCAAAAAAGTTGCAATAAGTGGGGATCTGCAATAAACGGGGGTGCAAAAAGCGGGGGTTCACTGTAATATATATATTATTGTGGGTGTCCACAACCGTTTTTATTATATTTTGTATAAAAAATCAATACAAGATTATGCTTTATAGAACATTAAAAGAACGTCATCAAATGTAAGTCTATGTTATGTAATGATTTTAAAAAGGAAGGCTGTAGTCGAAAAGAGATAGTGCAAAGGATGGCAGTCCTGCTACGGAGAAATGCATGTTGAGTCAAATTATAAGTGAAAGCAAAAGCAGTGTAGAAGGAGATGTTCATAGACGATTTTGGAGATAACATACCTAAAAGACACAATGAAGATTGTTAGTGAAGAATCCAGAATGCATAATTCATAGGATGAAGGAGTTAAAAACCGGCTGCGAAAGGAGCAGTTTGATATATACCAATGGTGCAGAGACAACGAAGCTCGTCATATATCATAGGAAAAGAGTACTAACAAAGATACATATACCTATAAGGCCTTGATCCTTATCATCCATATGAGTCAGCCGTAATAGTAGCACTCCATTTCATCACGTTAGGAAGCCTTAGCAAGGCATGAATAAGTTCGTAGTGTACATGTGGCACGATGAGATGGGTGGTAGATTGTAGTTAGTCAGGGTTATAGATAAATGGTATACAGTAGATAAAATGAAAAAAGGGAAACTTACGCTCTTCTAGCTATATATAACATCTGGCAGCGACAGCAGCTTCAAAAGGTATAAAGTACGAACTGTGTTGTATGAAATGGTATAATGAAGGCGTGCATTAGTATGGTGCATACTGACTTGAATCGTTAATATATTTGAAATACCGACCCAAAAAAAGAAAGTGTATCAGAGTTGTCTAAAGTGAATTTTTTGAGATTCTAACCAGCAAGATGTGTTTAATAGCATATTATAAGCATTTCTTACTCGTTACTTTATGAAAAAAGGTGTTTTAGAGAGCTCTGATAGCCATCAAAGTTTTGTCGGAATATGAAAATTTACTATATAGAGGTTCAATCCATAATAATTAATTTTACTGTAAACAGTAAATTAATTTTAGTTATTCCTTTCACCTCCCGACTCTAAATCTCATTGACAAGTTAGTTTTCGTCCTTCGTCCTCAACTAAAGGGGGGGTATGCTCACTACCGCTCCGCTACTTTTCAAATTAAATATTAAACCTTAAAGGATATAAATCTTTAAAAGGTTTAAAAAGGTTTATATGAAACATAAACCTTTCAAAGAATTAAAAAAAAAAGTTTAAAAAAAAAGATAAAAGTTTAAAAAAAAGATAAAAGTTTTAAAAATAAAAAAATTATAATCTAATTTTTTATTTTTCCTAAACATGTTTAAACAATGATTTATCTTTAAACAATAAAACCTTTTAAGAATTTACAATTAAGGATTAAACCCTATAGACCCAAGAATTCGACAAGGTGGGAGGGGTAGATCAGTGAGGTGATGTAGGCTATTACAGCCTGTGTAACATTGTATTTGTCATGGTTACACAAACATGTTATCCTCATCATCATACTGCTTTTTCACAAGGGTTGTGTTTCCTTCATTGATACTCGCTCATTGTGGTGAAACTACACTACTTTGAGTTTGATCCAAATAACTCAACCCACTCCACCATCTTCTTCGTAACCATTAAAATGCAGTAGAGAGAACACCTCACACATGGATGAATCAAATATTACATAATTAGCACCATATTGATAATCTCTCAAACATGGATCACAATCGAGAATGACTCAGGACCAACTATTGTCAATACTTCGTTGCAATATAATATCGATAATCTCTTAAACATGAATCAGAATCGAGAATCATAACTCAGGACCAACCATTGTCAGTACTTAGTTTCAATCTACATTATCTGAGTTGAGTGAAGTGTACCTGTCAAAGAGCGGATACTAATTCCAGCACAGACAAAAGTGAGACTTCACCAAACAAGGAACGCACTGATCGAGGCAAAGATTACTCTTTACAATCGGAAGACAATGACTATTATCATGGCCGACAAACTCAACCTTCCCATCCTTCTTCATCTTTGAAACATCCGAAACCCGGCATGTCTGCGATCCATTTATCAGTTCATCCGAACGGAAGTTTTGATAGCATCTCCAACAGTATATAAAGGGTTGTGAATTCATTTAGTGAAATTATCTCATATTTGACTCTCACTGTATTTC